TTTGCTTATTTCCCTCTCAATCCGTCTCACGCAAACACACACGATAGATGTATCACTTTTCCTAATTTTGCCCACAGTTTATATCACGCGGCAATATAAAAGCAATAGTATTTAATGCTATCGATTTGTTTTCTTTTTTTAACGATGTAATATTTGATTTGCAGAGCAAAACACGTGATGTTCTTCCACGTGTACACTCACTCTATCGGACACATATTACTATTCACGTGACATGACAGTATCACATAATGAGAATAATAATAATAGTAATAATCTCTCACGTGGGAGCATTAATGGGATTGTTTTTATTCTGATCGCGTTCTGAGAAAAACAACTTAGCCACAATCTCTGTGTGCTTCCTCAGCTGATACCGTGAGTGCCGGTTCGAGTCCCCCTAGTGGTTAGTCGGTTAGCTCCCGAACAATTTACCCTAGTGATCTAACAAGTTGTATCAACAATGGTAGAGCAGAGTAGAGTAGAGTAGAGTATGGCAGAGTAGAATAGAGTAGAGTAGAGTAGAACATACATTACAAACGTCGATGAATCCCCTTTTGATATGTATTTCGCTTACATTATCTGACATTGACCGGAAATGGGGGCAAGCAATCGATTGTAGAATTTCTACTGGACCTATGTCATCCAAAGACTGCTAATGTGTTTTTCTTCTTCGATCATCTAACGCTTCGGTTACATAGGTGTGCGGGTCACATTGAGGGATCACGAATTGATGGTGATATTCGAGAGGTCATATGTTATGAATTGTTTTATTTACATAAGTTGTAATTTTCAAAACACAGCGATGTCGGTACAGGTGAAAATAAGCAGACGTTTCGGTTACCGTGGTGTAATGATTGTAGTAGTAGTAGTAGTAGTAATACGCACGAAATTTGGAACACCAATCACGCAATATGAATTACAGGACCCGAATCGATAATCAGCCATCACGCGCTGGATCGCAGAAGCACTGGACCACAATGGCACGGATTCGCAATGTCCCACGAGAACGAGACGCGAGGAAAAGGCCACAGGACAGGCGGTGAGTAGTTCGTTTGTTGGAGGAAATGAAGGTGATTAAATAATATGTACAAAGGGAGATTATTGGCTACCTGGGCATCCACCAATTGGATTGCGGTACTGCTTGCATAATCTTGCTTCTGTCTGCACTATCTTGGATTGGCTGGCACCATCCGCCAATGACGTTTATTCAGAAGCCATGCACGTGTCA